GGGGGGGATTCTGCATCATATATCCGCCCGCGGCCGTAGTTGCGGCCCTGGCTGAGAGAAAGGTGTTGTGGCAGCGGTGCCCGTCCTTCGAGAAGAAGCTGGGTCCAGAACTAATCGTCAAAATATAAGGGAGCCTATCGAGCCACCTGCTCGATTCGATAGGATACCGGTTACAATGTATCAGCGCGAGAGGATATAGCCGCTATATTGCAGAAAATTACGGTGAAGCGCGGCGGCTACCAACGAGGATACGTATGGCGAGATGCTCTCGTTCGCCGCGCTTCGCGTATTATCCTTTAAGGATAGGAGAAGAGGAAGAAGAAAGAAAAAAAAGTCGACTCGACAAACTAATGCTCTTTAAATTCCTACATGCGTAGGCAGGTGCGGACACGCACGTATATATCGTAGCTCTCTTGTGCGTGTGTGTGTGCGACGAGAATGGGCGTCTTACGTGTGCGAGTGGTGCTACGAGCTACGGCTAAATCAATAAACGCGATCCAGATGCTGTAAGGACAGCATAAGAGCGGCTTCGAATGTATGCCCGCTGAAAAATAACGGTCGTTCGATTATTCAAGGAGCCGGGAATAATTGAAAATGCTCTCGCTGCTCGGGGGAAAGGATGCGGCGCACACGTACGATTTTAGGCGGAACGCCTCGAGCGCGCGCCTCCTTCCCGTCGAATCCATCGAAATGGCAAGAGTCCGCGGGCAGTCCATCCGCGGAGTTTGTTAAAACCCGACGACGTCCCCTGGCGCGAATTTGAGAGTCTCTCGATTCTCTCCCGACGCGCTGCATATTCTTAAGAAGATATATCCTCTCTCTCTCTCTCTCGCCGATGCTCATCATCCGACACGATCTATCCGCTATTTTTTCTAGTCCCATTACACGTAATGGCGCAATTTGTGTAATGTTCGAACTCGGGCGCTTCCGCCGATCCTCGGCTACGTCCGGCCACGCGAACAACACGCGATCGCCGACTCGCCTGGACCGGTTTGGGTACCTGGCGCGGAGCCTGCGAGAGCAGAACCGGTTATGCCGCGCGTATCTTCCCTACTACCTGCGTGCCATGCAAACCCCCACCTCCTCAACCTCCTCTCAATCTACTCGCTCCCTCATGCCAGGTCTTTGTGCGCGCGTACATGCTACTTTTTTGCCATGGGTAGAGAGAGAGAGAGAGAGAGAGAGAGAGAGAGAGAGAGAAAAGAGAGGAGGGATGGTGAAGAGGGAGGAAAGAAGGAGACAGAGATCGAGAGAAAAGTAGAAGTCGTAAGGAGTAGGCAACAGAAGCGGGGCAGGCGGAGCGGGTGTGTAAGCGGCACCAGGAGATGCCAGGAGGTTTGACCCTGCCAAGAATCCCGCATCTGCTCTCTCTTCTCAGCCTCGCTCTGTCCGGGGATCTAATTTGCCGTCTCCGACTGACCGTGGAACCTGTTAGCAGAACGAAATCAGCCTGCTCGCGGAGGCACGGCCCAAGTTTCACAGACGCGCAGCTCCAAGATAAACAATCTATTCGTGACGCCGATCGATTAATAAATATAGACACGCCGTGCGCGTCGACGCGTCCGCTCCGCGTCTGATCCACAGATCTCTCATCTCTTCTCCGCTATCGATAGGTTCGTCCTTTTTAGCTGAATTGCTCTTTTGCTTTTAGAGTGAAACAGGTATGTGAGGTGAGGCGACAGCTATTACTGTCTTGAATGTCTTTGCAGAATAAAAATATTCTATTAAGGCTCTCGGCTACCGCGTCGCAGTAATCTTGTTTGATGATGTCATACGGAAAGAAATTAGTATCAATTTAAGACTTATATTCTCATGTATGTTAGAATATATAATTTTATATGGAAGATAAAACTTTCATACGTGAAAAAATTCTATATAATTCCAGTAAAAATTATCGCATTCTTTTTCGTTATTCTGGAATAACTTTTACGAATTGAGAAAAAAGAAATATTGAATAGAAAAATCGGTATTTTCAAACTAATAGTTCTTGACTCGAAAATATCATTCTTTCTGTCCAATATTTTTTCCTCTTCATGGAATTCGCTTAAATTATTCTTGAATAACAAGAATATGATATTTTTCGTGGAACTATGTAAAATTTTTTCATACGTAAGCCAGGTTTATCTTCACATAAAATTATATATTCTTGCCCATATATGAAAATATCATGAATTGATACTAATTTATTTTCTGTATAGAAGCGAGAAAATGTCAAAAATTCTTGCAGAATGTTGAAACAAAATGATACATCGATAAAATAACACTTCCCTAGTAGCACAATGCATTGGTAATACATTGGTCTAACATTGGTTATATTGGCATTCATTGGGGG